AGGTCATTTTGGGCCTGCAATTCCCAAAACTGTCCCATGCCACTGAAAAGGAAGACTTTAGGGTCATTTTTTGGCCTGACAGACCACGCAAGAAGTTTTGGTCCCCTGCATAGTGATTGGTGTTGAGATGATGTCATTGGGACTTACCCAATGACTTAACATGTGAAGAAACTATGTGTTAATTATTTTTCTACATTTCCATAAGGTGGTCTGTGCTTATGCCTCTTATCATACCTAATAGGTTCTTAGAGCCAGATAGGAACATCCCAATGCTAAAGGAGTTATAATAGAAAAGATACAGACTCCTTTGCCTACACGGTCAATACTATTTGGACACCACTTATTATGGCAATCGGTGATGAGCCTCCGCTCTAGCAAAAGACCCCTGACCGGTTAGCTGGGATCCTGTTGAGGCTCAATCTGGTTTCTCTGGAGGTTCCTTCCTTCCAATCAAAATTAAATTATTTTCTTTCCACTATAGCCACATGCTTGATGAGGACAGAATACATGGCTTATGGTTGTATTTTAACTCTTACATAAGCAGATGATCTGATCTTAATTGAAAAAGGTTATGAGCTTAACTTTTTGACTAGACTTCTTCAACAACAGTTATTTTATTATTATTTCTGGACATGTGTTCATGAACCAGTCTTCTCCGCAATTGTGTAGCCTGACACAGACTGAGACTAGGGCTGAAACAATTAATCGGATTAATCATGATTAATCGATTATTTAAATAATTGTCAACTCATTTAGTAATTGATTAATCATTAAATGGAGTATAGAGACCCTTAAACATGCCTTTCTCTGACAGAGCGACCCACTTAGAGCAGTAATTAAACTAAAATTGTAAATAAAATAAAAAATTAACATTTTGCATTTAAGATAAAAGATCTTTTTTGTGTGTCTATATGCTATATCCAAAACTCATCAAGTGGAAAAGTTTTACCTGGTTTGATTTTGTAAAAGGGGTTCTTTAAGGAACCTTTGGCTATCTGATTATTAACTAAATTAATTAAAAAATAATTAACAGATTAATCGATTTGCAAACGAATAGTTAGTTGCAGCCCTAATTGGAGCCATTTATAGATAAAGAGACACTTTGTAGGAATTTTATGAGACACTAAATTTGAGGTTTTCACTATCTATAATTGTCAGAATTAGAAAAAAATATTTAAATATTTAATGTGAAATATTTCATATTATCCTTAATGATTCTATAATTATATATATTTCACTTTCTGAGATGAGGGATGAACATTTTGGAAAAACTTGGAAATTACTGTAATGTAATGAATGAAGTACATTTTATTTCTATGTATGGCTGATAATGTGATGTCAAATGCTGATATCACTTCAGACTGCATTAATGAATGTAAAATAAATATACTTTTTAATTGGGCTATTTTTCCATCTTTATTTCAACCTTCATTTTTAAATAAATAACATTTATTTTTGCTGGCACGGCTGAATGAGTACAGTCTGTCTGAGCATCAAAGCTCTGTGTTTTACAGCAAAATGAGGAACATGCTGAGCTTTTAATAGAAAAGACTCTGGAGGCCTCTTGGTTAACATGTGCTTCATTATAAAGAGCCTCCCATTCAGCACTCAGTTACACACACCACTAACTGGGAAGATCTTAGATGGGAGAACTGGGAATGCTTTGAGTGAACATTTATTTCCGTCATGTTTTGATGCGTTGCCTCCATCTTGATTCTTACCTGAGGAAATGCTTCATCTTGGCGGCTGTGACCCCTCAGCTGTCTCCTGTGTTGCTTCGTTTCAGTGATGACCTGAGGACAGAGGATAGATTCTCCTTTTTGGTCATTCTGTTTTTCTCTGTTTTCAGGCTAAAAAACCTCGGAGCTGTCCGTGGTGCTGACGGGTTAACCCGCGCTCCGCTCCGCTGCAGCACCGAGCTCTGATCCCTGCGGGGTTCACTGTGCGGGAGAACCTCTCCAGCAACCGCATAACAACACATGGAGGCATCAGCAAACCTTTCAGAGGTTCTGCATCCTCCTCCATGCAGGAGTAATCCCGCAAACCGAGCGATTATTCCTACCTGTCTGATTAGCAAAGCGCAGACGCTAAATAATCCGCAGTTGAAGCCGAAAGGCGCAAATAATTTAATATCGGCTGCGGACGCCTTGTAGCGGAAATATGATTTTTTTCTTACCTTTCCAAATAAAACGATTTGATGCAGCTGGATGATTCTGCGGAGGTGCTGCGTTGTGTTGCCCAGCTACAGTCTGTGCTGCTCCTCCATGATGACATCCACCAACTGGAGTATGGCAAGCCCTTATAGCATTTTATTCTAACATCCCTCAGCTCATTGTCTTTTTAGAATAGAATTCAACTTTATTGTCATTGCACTGTCACGAGTACAAAGCAACGAAATATAGTTTGTATCTCTCCAGAAGTGCTATACAGCATATACATATTACTACAGGTTTATGTGCAAGCAAAAGGTATTAGTTAAGGACTGTAAAACTTTGCGTATAAATATAAATATGAATATGGGAGCTACATGATGAGATTATACAGAATATACAGAAATGATGAGAAAAGGATTATATATGTATTAGCGGGTTTGTCATTTTTAATAGGAGAAATATAGTTTGAAAAAAATGAATGCACATTTAGATGATTATCTATCTTTTGTTTACCACATAACAGATTTGGGTTCTGTACCTTTATTTTTTAGGATTTCAGTTGCAAACAGAATATTTTGTGATGGTTTTATAGCCTGTAGAAATTTCGTTTCTTTGTCTCAACTGGACAAATTTCAAGAAAATGGAGCCCTTTCCAGAAGCATCTATATGTGTGTCAGCTTTTGAATGGAATATCTAGGGACATAAATATGATGCAAGTGACCCTTCTCTATGTATAAGTAATAGACCAGTCGTAAAAACATAAACTTATTGAACCATTTTTTTTTTTTAATTTTTTTGTGAAAACCTCTGAGTGGAAAAAAAAGGTGTCTTCCTAATAAAATATCTAACATTACAGTTCTCCTGTATTAGTTATTAAAATTTCTATTTTTGTGCATGACACAAAAAGGATAAACTTTTATTAATATAAAAAATAATTCATTACTTCATTTTTCAGCTGTGACACTTCCTAAAAAGTAAATTATAGAGGTGTTGCTCCAGACTCAGTGATCCTGTGAGCTTCCAAAATACTTTAAAAAGTTAAAAAGTAAACCACTGAACTTTGTTTTCCAAGTTTGAAGAAGTTTTGCTTCCCATCCAGGAAGCTTTTTCAATTAAAAATGTCTAGAGTAGCGTTGAGTTCCAAGCTTATAGAGTGACACAAACAAAGGCCTTGTTATGGCTTAGAAAACATGCAAATTAAACCGAAAAGACAGGTCCAACCCTTAGTAATGGGGAGTCGTTGAGGTCATTTTTGGCCTGCAATTCCCAAAACTGGCCCATGCCACTGAAAAAGGAAGACTTTAGGGTCATTTTTTGGCCTGACAGACCAGGCAAGAAGTTTTGGTCCCCTGCATAGTGATTGGTGTTGAGATGATGTCATTGGGACTTACCCAAAAGATAAATAATTTTCAAAATTATCTATATAAGTTGACCCCCAGTAGACATATTTTTTCTGGAATTCTTTTGTATCCAACTAGTCACTTGTTGCAGGACTAGTCAAACCGATTGGAGCTTTAAAATCCTAATCCTGCTCCAACATTACACCATTTCTGTATATTTCTCAGTGACTGTCACCTAGAAATCCTTTATTATACATTAAGTTGAACGACTCCAGTTTTACATTTAGAAATAATCTAATGAGGAATTATTTGAACCATTTTCTTTGCATTTATTAGTAAACTAATGCACCAAGAATACAAATGTATAAATTCAAGACTTTCGACAATCGGAGGCTGTTGCTGCTGTTTTATCAAAGACCGTGTTCAGGTTCTCTAGTTTCTTTTAATTAAAAGACAAACATCCAATTCAGATTTTAAGAATTTCCAGGATAATAACTCAGGAAAAGACCTTGGATAAATGCTAAATGGAGTTGCCCTACTCCTAAAAGCTGCATCACTGACACTGCAGAACACAGACAACCAACTTCCTCCAGCCCTGCATGTTCTCTACCTCATTTACTTGGCTATTTATGCAGCTGTGTTTAGTATTCAAGTCATTACAGACCATACAAACGTTTTCTCAATAGGTGAAGGTTCTTCCAAGTTCTGCACTGCATGGATGTGTGTTTAAAAGCTTGAAAGTGGACAGAAAGAAAAAGAAATATCTAACTTCAGCACTGGACGTCACCACATTTAATACCATTGGTTAAAAGATATGAAAAATGAAACAAACACAGATATATGAAGTCAGTTTAATGATAAAACATCTGGCTGCAATGTAACACATTCCTCTGACAACATAAAGTCATCTACAGCATCTTTGGTAAATAAAAAAACAAAACCATAGAATAGAACCTGCAGCAACAAAAAAGAAAAAAAAAGGAAAACTATTAAGACAGTTAAACTTTTAGTGGATTTTTTTTTTAATTTTTTTATTAAATCCAGTTCCATATATTTACTTTGTATTAAATATACACTCTACAATTTGGAAAACTTTATGCAAGAAACTGATGCAGTGATTGAACAAAAGGACACTTTTTCTAATTTATTTTGGCTGTTTTTCAACATTTTAATGTGGCTCCATCCATGGTAAAAAAAAAAAAAAAAGAAAAAAACTGAAGAAAACAAAACATTTATGTTTTTCTTATCAATTCTCACCACAAAGTAAAGTGCTGCTCAGACTTACAATTCTTTTTAGTAGATGTGCCCACTTATAAAGCAATTTAAATGGAAAAAATTTGTTATCTGTCATTGTTGGTCATTTTATCACATTTCGCTATTGGTCCAATTCATAGAACTGGACTGATATAAATAACCAATGTTAATTTCTGTCTTATGGTCCTGGATATCCTTGGTAGGGGGGGGGCTTTATGATCATATCAGTAAATACCAGTTATTTGCGACAGCAGAAATAACATTGGACATCCATATAAGCCATTTTAATGTCAATGTATTCCTAAAAAAAATATAAATAAATCCCATCACCACGGGTGCGTAAAACATTTAACAGCCAAATTTCAACACCTCAAAACATTGGGTATTTTCTTCTTTGGCATTTTGCAGTCTAAAACGTAGCCGTCTTCGCAACAAAGCATTTTTTTTAACCCCCAAACAAAGATATAAATACAATTTTCTTATTCTATAAAGCAATGCAATAATAAAAAAAATCACAATGATAACTGTAATAGAAGTATAATTGAACAAATAGCACCTTTAAGGCCACTCTGCAACAAAACAAGGAAAGCTTGACAAAGTGATTCCAGTAAATAATCTCTACCAGCCAGAGGCTGTTTTGATCAGAGTTCAGAACCGCTGATATTTCAATCTGATTAACTGGTCTGAATGGAGTTCAGAACAAACAAAGGAAAAAAAATGTAAGCAATTCATAACAGATCATCTCCATTATTCAGCAAAATGTGGAACTAAAAAGCAAAATAACTAAGGCAAAAGTTTCAGTTCACTGGTTCTGAAATGTGTTTTTTTTTTATGGTACAAACAAGAAAAACGGCCACATGACGGAACAATTTGAGGGCAGGGATCAGCGAGGTAAAAAAAGAAAAAGGTTTTATTAAATGGTTGCTAAAATGAGCTTTTCAGTAATATTTGTAACCTTCAGCCTAATATTCATGTTGCTAGTGGCATATTTCAGTGGGTTAGAACAGCAGTGTAGATAATAAGGAATTCAGACTGAGAAGACAAAAAAAGCTAAAGGATTTTACAAAATGTCTCATAACTGATTGTAAACGTGCACACTGTGTCCTTGTATTTACATAAATATCTGTCCTTATTGGAGAAGTTAGCTAAAGACAAATTAAATCATCTCATATCTTATCTAACAATAGTAGGAGACTGAACTCTTCTTATTGCAATGACATGACTCTGATAACTGGCCTTGGATTCAGAAACAAACATGAAGTCACAGAGCTGTGAAGGCCACCACTGTTTCAGGTCCCTGAACGTCTCCGTCTGAAGCCAGCAGCCGGTCGGAGGCGTGCTCAGCCGCAGGGTCTGCCGCCTCAGAGACGTCCGGTAGAGCAGAGGGCGTCGGGATGGCGTGGAACATGATGAAGCCCACCGTAATGATGACAAACGAGATGATGTACAGAACAGAAAACTGAAGAAGAAACAAATAAAAAGCTCATAAATTTACATTTTGGAGGACGACAAAGTAGTTTATATTTCTCCTATTTATGAATGCCAGTCGGTTGATTGGATCGATTTTATTTAGGGGTAAAAGACTAAAAGGAGCAGAAGATATTTGCAAACTGCAGTCATTGGGTTTATTTCTGTTTTGATTTTAAACTTAAACCTAGTCCTGGGAAATAGGATTTAAAAAATTAGCAAATTTTTCCCCCAACCAAATGTGATTAACCTATTTTTTGTTCCTTATTCAAATTTTATAAATGAAAATAACAAAGTTACTTCCCAAACTAGCTTCTATTTCAATCATCCCCTCTTGGAGGTGAAAAGGGAACAAAAGTCAAGTTGTAAGATAATCATATTTCCCAACCAACAATGGAAATAAATCAAACTAAATGTTTGCAGCTAGTCGTCTCACATAGTAAGCTAGTTTATCTGTTCCAAGCACACACCTAAGAGCAAAAATCTCTAAAACTGATTTCACTCTGCGCTGTGAAGGTGTGGATTGGCTAAAAATAATCTTAATTTTTCCTAAATCAAATCTTTATCAAACTAAAACTAAATCAATGAAACCCTCTGCTGCTCTGGTTGAAACCAAATTGTTTTCGTTCATTTCAGTTCTGCCTAAATTTGTGCTTTTTTGTCAAATTAAATCCCAGAAAAATAAGAACTGAAGTTAATGGTGGTAACCTGTTAGGTTTATTCAGTGATGATTATAAAATTAATGTATGTACATATAAAACATTGGAGAAATGAGATGCTTCACTCTGTCTTGTGATTCAGTCAGTGGAGC